TTTTACTTTGAATTTAATGGTATGAATGAGAACACATTGCTTGTAAGTCAGTGATGGAAATCAAACCAGTACATTTTATCTGAGTTAATTTTATCAACATACATAGGTGTATGATAAAGCTCTGCAGAAAAATCTTGATTTAAATTGCAGTCAATACAAACAGCTATTGTATTTTTCAGGGCAAGGAACAAATTGCCTTTCCAACCCAGCCAGCATGTCATTTATATTAATGGAGAGGAATGCTAAGTTGCTCTGTGTATAAGTAAACTCTATTAAGAAAGTCACGTCCCTTGGTGAAGCTAGATCCTTAGTAAATTTTACTAGCCAAGCACTGAGCTCCATGTCAGAGTAATTATACCTTTTATCCACTGTGAGCTATCTCTTAGCTTCTTCATACTCCTTAATTTCCCACTTCAGCTAATTTAGCAGTAAAATCGCAATGGTTTTAAAAGGTTAGCTACTGAGAAAACTGGTGCATGAATGTTCTGTTAAGCTCCATGCACTGAAATCACATCATGTAGAAGAAGGAATTAATTAAGTAACAATTAGGTAGTGATGGATCATTGACAATATATATACACTTTGGTGCTAAAATTAATCTCCCCTGTAAATCCAATACATTGTGTATCTTCTCATCTATACGCTGGAAGGTTTTATACCTGAAATATAAAATGGACAGACCCTTCAGCAATATTGTAAAAAAAATGTATCTTCTTATACTGTCGAAATTACATACTATGTTACAAAATCATACAGCTTCATTTTCTTTTAAAATAATTGAAAGAGTAATGAGAACAGCAAAAGGAGAAGAAATTTTTAAGGCAGGTGATTTTCAAGTGACTGTAAAGGCATTTGTTATATGAAAATACTTAGTATGTTGAAAGTGCTAACAACTGTATAGTAATCTCTTTGCTATCTTATTTTACGAGTTGCCATATTGTTTCCTTGTATTGACAGTCAGCTGCTTAATACGTAGATTGGCAGTTAGCCTGGTCAATCCTCAATTCTAAAAGCCTCTTAGCAGATGAAAAATCTTTGGTTCATTCACACCTTGTAGAAAGAATGACAGGGCAGAAGTGACATCCAGATCCACTTAGAGTATACTCTGAGTCCGATTTTCCTTTGCTTTGCACCTTGTGTAGTCATTTATAGCTGTGCAAAGTGACCACAAAATGGATATAAAACACTGCTACTCATGCGAGAAGAGCATTCTGATTTGGTTGCATTATTTCCGGAGGTGATCATAAAAAGTGCCAGGCAGTGAAAAAATCTGGCTGTGCATAGAAAGTCTAAACAATTTTGACACAAAGAATAAAGTAACAGCAGCGCTTTCCAAACAGTTTATAGAAATGGCACTTTTGCTTTGGAACAATGGGTGTTTTTCTGTTTGCTTGGTGCTTTCATAGGAAAAATACTAGACGTTAAACTCATCTACAGAAAATGAATCCTACTTCTTCCTTTTTTTGGTAGAAACATATCTAGCTGTGAGTCCTAAAGTATATTCTCACATAAAAAGGAACTCATATCCTACATAAGATCTCTGCTAGTTCTACCTTTCCATGTGCTACTTCTAAACCCAGAGCTTAAGAAGCTACACTTCTGCACAGCCTCCTGGAATCAATGTGAAAGTTGCTATTATCACAACAACTGGTCTCAGTCCATCAGAGTTCAATACTGTTCTGGCTTTAGTAGGGGTGAAAAATTGTTGTCTCAGCATTTACCAAACAGTGATATCCCTGTCATATGATCTAGCACTGCTATGATAACGCAAGACATACTGCCGAGTATCTTCAAGATACAAACCAATATTAGCAGGAAAAGCCTGCAAATATTAGATTTAAAGATGTGTGTTAACAGAATTGTTAGTTAACAAATTAAGGACTTAATTTGGCAGATGATGGAGATGTGGTCAAGAATTATTTCTACTTAATAAAAGACATTTAGTGTTCAATAATTAAATCAACATGTTTGAACATTTATTTCCCCATACTACCTGGTGGCCATTTTTATGGCCCTTCCCAGTCAGAAATCCTTCTCATCATGCTTAGATGCTATGACGGGCCTGGCAACTCAGGTGTGTTGATTAGGTGCAGAAATAGAAATTACTGGACTGCATCAATAGCTGTTGACCTAAGAGTACTGCTACAGTAAATGTCTGTTAGAAAATGCATTTTCTTTTAATTAATATCATGCTCTTAATAGAGTAATCCTAAAACATAGTTCCCAAACCTATTACCATTGTCCAGAGATTACCCTTCAATCAAGTGGCTAAAGAATAAATGAACTTTTTTTTTTAAATTATTCTTAATATTTTAGTAATACTGTATTATAGATTAGGGTTTCTTGAGTTTGTTTTTTTTTTTATTTCACACACCTTCCCCCCTGCCTGCTTCCCTTTCTGGATTCAGTGCTTCTTTAAGTATTCTGAGTTGCTAGTCTGTCTTGACTGAAAAGTACTGTGTGTTTGTTGTGTGTCTGCATGTGTGATACCAACTGTTGAAGACTGCTTGATGTTAGATGAGGGCTTATGCTCATAGCTGTTCTACAGTTGGCTCTCTGGCAGAATCTCTCCTCACCAATAACAATGATGTATCTGTGTGGGGTAGAGTCTGTTTTATAATATTGCACTTGCCATGGCCTTAATTTTACTGATGGGGCACGATTATGATTTCATTTATGTTAATCAAAACAGTGAGTCATTCCATTCATGTCAATAGAAGTAAAGAGCTATACAGACAAGTACGAGTTCAGAATCAGGCTTCTGGTGTTTACTCTGTAAGGATATCTGAATCACTTCATTAAAGATAGATACTGAAGGGTAGATCCTTTGCTTACTTTGTATTACTCAGTCATGCCATTAGCATAAAACATCAAATAAAGAACTACAATGACAGCTGGCAATGTGTCACAGTACATAGGTTTTCTGTTAACCTCAGGTACAGAAAATACCCCCGAATTAACGAGATTTAGGATAATATATCAAATATGACAAAGTTCACATATTAGGTCTTCTTGTCCTTGGAAGTTGGCATTAATGTTTCAAAGACTTACTTTCTTCCTGTGTTTTTTTCATGTCACTCTTACCTAACTTGAATGCAAAAAATCTAAAGGCAAACAACATTTAAGTAAGACCTCAGAGTTGGTTTATCACCCTCTCCATAATGAAGATTATGTCTGGTAAATACATGAGCATCAAAATAGTGATTGCAATTCATAAAATTTGTTTTTTAGGTATCTCATAAAGCACTATCAAATCTTCATTCTTTTTTAAAAATTGAAAAACATGCTAATTTTCCAAAATATAGGCATTCTAAACCAATAAAAGGTTTTGTACTCGAGTCTGTCTCCTCCTCAGACAAATTGTGCAGGGGATGATAAGCCTTAATTTAGTCCTCACTGGTAAGTACTTTTAAGACTAAATATTCTTGAAATTGCACTTATTTAAATTACAGTCAAGCTCCATGTAAAACTGAAAAAAGATTATTGGGGGGGGATTAATTTCAAGAGGTCTAGCAAGCTATCAGAATAGTGCTCGATTATATCTCTTCAGATTTTTTCCATTTTTTAAGTCAAAGACTTATTGGCATTTGAGAACATTTTCTAGAAAACTGCTTCACATATTACAGGCCCTAGAAGCTATTACTCTTGTATATACTCTCAGTTTCACTACAAGCACATGACCCAAGAGACGAAATCATAGTTGAGGGGTTGATCAGCAAACCAGTACCAAAAGAAAGCTATAAGAAGGGATGTTTTCTATAGGTCTCACTGATTGTCTCACTGAAAAATAAAGATCTTTCTGTGTATCTTGCTCTTCCAGTACAGTGGGAACAGCAAAAAAATTTTCTCTCCAATTGAATGAAATTCTCCCCAGCTCTCCCAATGAAACCTTTCTTTTCACCTTGCTAGGCTATGTGTTCAGTTTTATATCCTACACTTCCTCAGCATAAGAAAATTCTTGTACATTGAAGCAATAAGATACTGTCTTCAGGCTGAATACAAATGTTAGTTAAACCACTCGTGCCTTTTGAGAAAACCTTGATATAATTTCCACTCTTGGTAACTCCGGAAATTACACATTTTTCTTGTCTTTGTGATAACATTGCTGTGTATCTCAGTAAGCACACTTTGGCACATAGCTTAATTATACGGCAACAGGCTTTACATATCTGTGACGAAAAACAATTAGAAGTTTCACTCTTTGTTTTTCAATAAGCTAAAATGAATGAGAAACTGAAGAAATATAGAACAGAGAAGTGACCTACCGTGGTTGTCTTTATCCGTCCTCCTGGTTGTGTACAGGTCCAGCCTGATTTATTGATTAGCAAATCACATCCTTCTCCTTCTAAACATGGAAGCATTTCACACCACTGTTTTGTCTTGATAATTCGTGCTATGGAAAAGAAAAGAAAAAAACAAAAAAACCCAAAAACAATTGGCAGGAGAATTCACATTTCACTTATCTCTAAACACTTTCTCATTTGAGTTGTCTATTTTCATCATTTGATAATGCAGCCATAGGTTACAATGTAGACAGGTCTAGGCAATTAAAAGAATTATTTACAATACCTGCTGTACCAACAGATTTCATAATTTAAAAAGAATTTAAAAACCAACAATAAACCAAAACACAGCTCTGTTGTAAACTGAAAGAACATAAAAGTTACCTAATTTTCTAATTCCATGCTCCTTAAAGTCAAGGAAACATTGTTGGAGGGGGGGTTAACAACTGAAAACTTACTATCCTAAATAATCATTATGGTAGCCTGAAAGTGACCTACAACTGGGATCCATTGTGTTAGACTAGGTATAAACCTAAGCAGACACTCCTTATCTTGAAGTGCTTACAGCGGAAATAGACATGAGACACACAGTGGAGAGAGACAAGCTATAATAAACAGGTAGAGGGGTCAACATAATGATAGCAATTGTGAAACTCTGTGATACTTGCAATGGTAGGGGCGTAGTTAAGGGCAAGAACTAGGAACATAAGAAGAAGAGGTGCTGAATGAAGTAAAGGTTGGGAAATCATGGGGAAGGAGAGAATAGCAGAGGGGAAAGACAAACAAACATCCTATTACCCTATTACTGCAAGGGAAAGGCAGTCTAGTCAAGAAGAGCCCTAACTGTCTGAAAGCTGGTATGTTGTGCGCTTTGTGGCTTCTCTTAATGCTTGCATCTCTGGTAAGCTGGTTCTGCAAAATTTCCACAAGGTCATACACAGCAAGTAGTCTTGGAACACAGAGCTCTGACTCTATTAAAGGAGAGGCAGATGAGCTGTATGGAGAAATTTTTCTTTCAGGCAGGGAGAAAAGGGTTTTTTAAATTCCTGTAGACTCCTTTCTGGAATATAATACTACTTCTTCTGAGTTCACCTCTGTAGTACCTGGGTTCCTACTCATAGAATATGAAGCAATAAAACCAATTTCTAATATTTCATTATTCTTCACTTTCTATAGGTGAAACTGTAGGGTGGAGTGTTAGTATGGGATATTTATTATAAAATACATATACAGAAAAGATTCATTTGCATGGTGCCGTATACTCATGCTAAACAAGGTAAGGCCCCCCCCAAAACTATCTTTTGCTCAGACTGTAAGGTTCATAGTCCACAGAAAATGGTCCTTAGTTCCTTCAGAGATCATCTCAGCAATCCTGGGCTAGACTATAATAGAGCTTCACCACCCCTATTTGAACATAAGGATCCTATGATTCAGGGGCAGAACAAGTTCCACATATAGGGACAAAATTCACATCATCCTCTATGTTGATGTGTGACACCCATACACACAATATATCTTCAGTAGTCATGAGCCCAGCAAAAAGAGAACTAGATGAGAAATATTTAGCAAGATAAGCATAGAAGAAGCTTATGATGCTCCAAATTAATTTTGGGTCCAAGGAGCTTAAAAGCAGGCATTTATACCCAGTGGCAGTTGCAGCTCTTTATGCTCACCTGAACGTGTGATTCAGCCTCTCTATGCCCCTGACTTGCTCTGTCTGGAACTACTTAAGAATACAATTCCCAATGTCACTGGATCATAGCAAGAAATAGAAGTGCAATTTAGTCTTTTAACAAAATCCTTTCAAATATTTTGACAGAAAAAAAGACTTGTGTCCTCAGTCCTGGTACAACTGTTGGTAAGCTCGAGCAATCTAAAAAACATTGATTTCTTTCAGTAGAAGCATAGTCTGAAATTCATATTAAGATTTTTATTATAAAAGCACTTTAGCTCCCAAACATCTACATAGGAATTTGCACTGCTCATTAGGCAATATATCTATTGCTGGAGGAATGATTCCCAAACAATTTTTATAACTACGATTTTTTGAAGTAAATCCACTAAGTTTTTATCATCATCATCATCATGGCTAGTTTTTATAGCACATAATATACAGAAATCTGGGTTGTGCTTGGGGTCCATAGGTAATGCTCTACTGAGAACTGGATTATATCAATATTTCAAGGCTAACATCTCCTACATAATAGATACAAGCCTCATCCTTTCTGAGTGCAGGCACGCATCCAGCTACAGGCTTTACAGAAAATGTTCATCAAAATGTTAACTACAAACCTCACTCATTTGCACACATGTATTTTGAAGTTCCCATATCAAAATGGCTATTTCTATCAATGTTTCAACAGTATGAAGGAACATTGAAAGATGGAATAGTCAGTTAAACTCAAAACCAGGTACTAGATTGCATCTACTATCACAGTTGGGAGGTTTTCCTGGAAACGTAAGTTGAACTAATCTTTAAAAAATACTTCTCTCCTCTGTGAATTATTCTTAGTGTTTGCTTGGCTGCTATTGCAGAATGCAACTATTGGTAATATCACAAATATGTGGAGTCCCTGCTCTGGGTATTGGCTACAACAAAAATTTAGAACATGCCAAGAGAAATTTACAGAACATAAAGTCTAAAACATTTCTTTTGGGTGTATAGACCAGCTCATGCATTTAGGCCTTGAGAATTGGAACAACTTCTCCTGCAGGGAAAAGCTACTCAGCTCACATGGTTTAAAGAAAATCCATATAAAAATGGTTTATTAATTTATTAATGACACATAACCATTAACAGTGCAGATTCAATATCAGTAATACAAAAAAGTAAACCATAGTACTAGTCACAAAATGTTCCTCAACACTTGGAAATTCCTAAACTCCCCCTCAGCATGAAACTCAAATACTTCTAACACATAAATACCCCCTGCTCTTCCCATCCCCTCCCAGCCTCATGGGAGCCACCTCCCATCCCCTGTGGCAGCCTGGGCATTCTGGCCCCAAGGGAGTACCCCTCATGTTTAGGGATACATTGCAGTCCATACAGACATGTTCTGCTAAAAACATACAGCCACAGTGGCAAAAGGGAGGCTGTGTTGATATCTGTGAGATTACATCTATTTTTCATTTTCGCATTTCAGTTTGTCCATTACAGCAGAGTATCACAGTGAAGCTAAAAACATAACTTAGCAAGGAAGCAAAGCATTCCACAATTTCATCAGCATAATATCAAGAATTTCTATCAGTAATTGAAAGTGAGTTACACTAGTCAAAGCAAAGGAATACAGTGTATTTCCTGAGGCAATATAGTTGCCTTTTTACGGTGTATATTCATCAGGGGTGAAATTCAACCCTGTGCAGACAAGACAGCAAAAAGCCTATCAGATTCTTCAAATCCTCTCCAAGCTCCATTATAAAGAATTAAGTGGCACTTAAATGATACATAGACTTTGTGCAGACCTTCTGCAAAGAACTGAATTTCATCTTAAGAATCTGAGATGGCACTACTTTGCATCTCCTAAGAAGGGGTGTACCCCTTCACTTCAACTGGAGTTAATAGAAACTGATGTTGCTCAACATATGGTAGAATTGCTTTCTCGGGTAATACCAGTTGAACTGGAGATCAAATGGAGTTTATCCAAGGGGGTTTCATACAAATGGTTCTGAGGTGTTGCAAGCAGGCAGAGGTTATATCACACAGCACCAAGCTACCCACTGAACTGATCTTAACTCTTTTGTAAGATAGTGCAATTTGCAATGGACTTCGAGTTATTAGTAAAAGTAAATAAATGTCTCTATTCATGATCAGTATAGTCCAATTTAAAACTGTTCAACTGAGTAGTGTTTCAGAACACCACAGATAATTTTCTGCGAAGTACTGCAACTAGATAAGATTTGTCACTAAAATTCTCACCTGGTTTAACATTACATATATTCTTTCCTATAGAAAATCAGCTTTATTTTCTATACTTTCTTTTCACACATTCACTGTACATTAAGGCAGTTATCAATAGTTGCAACTCCAGTCAATCTCATAACTGAGAATCATGAACTTTTTGTAATAGCATATTTTTCTCATTTAATACAAATATTGATTAAAACAGCATTTGGGTACCTGTAATTGCAATTACAGGATACATCATGTTGCTATGTATAAAAGGTAGCGTGTGAAATGAATATTTACAAATCATAATGAAAACCATAATACAAGAACCTAAATAAAATAAAAAAGATGGCTTAGTTGATGTTTATCTTTCAATTCCAGATGCCTGAACTAGCGAATGGAAGATTCTTTGTAGTTGGAAATAGGGAAAACTTCTATGCCCAAGCAGAATAAATCATTTTGAAAGATGCTTCTTAAATGACAGATTAATTCACCTATACTTCTTGTAGAATTATGTTCTCCTTCACATTATTTTTTTCAATGATAACTTGTAGCACTTAATGCAAGATGTCAAGTATGCATTGGAGAAAACATTTCCCTTTTGATTTTCATATATTATTTCACTGTTGTTTTCCTTCAACTTTGAAGAAAGTTGATCAGCATAGCTGATTCCTAAAGTTCAGAAATGTCTTTGGGTTCATCAGTTTAGACGTAGCTAGACAAACACATTTATCCCAGTGTTCCTTTCTTGCCACATTAATTCTGATCAGGACCCACATATTTTCTTAATAATCACCTTCAACTGATCCCAACTAGTTCCATCATCCCACTCCTCTCCCAACCTCTCCTCTTTATCTCATATTTTTCCTTTTTCCTTCTTGCATTTTTGTCAGCTGCATCCTTTTGGGTCTGTTGTGGTTTAGGCCCAGTGCATAACT